GTAATAAAGCCTCCAGAGTTATTTTCAGTCACTTATTGAAAACGTTAAGGAATAAACATGGGAATTCAAGAGCAATGAAATGAAGAGCTGACCCGAGTTACATAAATGTCCAAAGCTGGCAATGAGTGACTAAGAAGTGGCTTTTCATTCTTGGTGGCTAACGATACCCTTGCTTTGCCGGTCCCAGTTATCCCTCTGTTATAAATGTGACTTAGTTGTTTCTTCAGGATCCATCATGGTTAGTGTTCCCTCCTTCACTCTCTAGAAGCCATGACCCTCCACACTGTTGCCCAGCTTGAAGGGGCCCAGGGCTGCCAGCACAAACCAAAATCCAGACAGTGACCAGCACTGGAGAACTCAGAAGAGAGACCCTGCTGGAACTTCCCAAACACTAGAAGAGAAAAGCCCCCGCACTGTATAAGAAGAGGGAGTTTATGGTGAGACATCACTCTGGGCAGCATGGGGAACAACTGTTGATGCTTCCAGACTCCAGTCCCCTCCCAACAAGCCTCTATCATCTATAACAGCCTTAGCTCCACTCTAGAAACCTGGTCCCAGCTGCCATCTGGGGAGCAATGGGCAAAGGCCTCTTGGCATACCCTCTCTGAGTGGCTAAAGCCCATTTTCTAGGCCACATCATGATTCCTCCCTTTCCTGATGTGTAAGACAAGTCAGGGGAATCCAAAGCTGAGATGGAAATGCTTTTGCCATTCTGACGTTTTTCTGAGGATCACATGTGGCCCAGGAGCATAGAAGGAGCTGAAGAAGGTGCAAAGTCCCTCCTGCCACCTGCTGTCCTGATCAAGTACAGCAAGCAAACTGTCCATGGAGGCCATGGGGGACCAAGTGTGCAGAGTTTCCCTCACCCTTCCCGAGGAGCTCTGTGGGTTCCTGTAGAATGACTGTGGACATTTTATCCTCAAATGCAAGGAGAGCAGACCAGGGGTGTGGCAAACAGATCCAGGGGTTATGGGTTGTCCGTTCGGGCATCAGTCACCTCTGTCTACCTGGAGCCAACTGTCAACACAAGGCTCACACCCAGAGACAGTGGCTGAGACACACAGCTGTGGTTTCGTATGCATATCCATTCCCACTGCCATTGTCCCCATAAATCTCCAGAGAGACAAGTTTCAAGAGCTCACTTAGAGATAGCAGCTTTGACACTATACTGGAAATACTTCCTCTGAATGGTTCAATCCTAATTGACTTCAACATCAAAGAGATTTAAAATACACTTCAACTTTTCCCCTAACTAGATTTATGTATAAATCCCTGAGAAGACACCTGTCCACTTGAAATTCACTATTTACAGTTAATACACATGAGGGCAAGCAGATCCCCAGGCCTACTCCACTGCTCTAAGTCAGGAGAGAGGACCAGGCCTCCCTTCCAAAAGCAGAAGGCAGCAGAGCTGATGTCCTGAAGCAACAGCCCTGCCTTCCATCCACTCCTGGGGATCTAGAGGTCTCACCTGGCCATGCAGTGGGAAAAGCAATGGCTTCTCAAGAGCCATTGTTTCCCTGCCTTTTTAGACCTCAAGGTATCTGGTGCCAGATGAGCACAAGTTCAATCAGAGGGGGGAAAGAAGCTACAGGGAAGATGACTTGTCTGTGAGTAGATACAACTGTTCAAACAACAAAGTAAAAACTATTCCTAAAGAATGCTGCTGGAGCTGGGTGGTGGTAGCACATGCCTTTAATCCCAGCACTCAGGAGGCAGAGGTACAGATCTCTGTGAGTTCAAGGCCAGCCTGATCGACAAAGCGAGTTCCAGGACAGCCCAGGGTTACACAGAGAAACCCTGTCTCTAAAAACAAACAAAAAGGAGGAGGAGGAGGAGGAGGAGGAGGAGGAGGAGGAGGAGAAGAAGAAGAAGAAGAAGAAGAAGAAGAAGAAGAAGAAGAAGAAGAAGAAGAAGAAGAAGAAGAAGAAGAAGAAGAAGAAGAAGAATGCTGTTGGATGTTGGGGCCACTAGGGGACCTCAGAGACTGATGGCATCTCTAGTGAACCCTTCAACTAAAAGGAGATAAAGCTAACAACATGGCTTCAGAGTGGATTTCTTCCTTCAGTCACCACCACGCCCCCCCCCCCCCCCCCCCCCAGCAGTACCAGCAGCCTGAGACAGCATCTTCATTTTCAATAAGGAGTGAACTCCCCACCTGTGCCTCCAATTCTCACCCACATCACTCCCAGGTGAGCCTGAAGGTCCTGGCAAGCATGGGTAGGAGGGCTCTGTTCACAAGTGTTTGTCCCCATGCTCCTCCCACCTTAGAGAGAGAACATAAGAGTGAAAGCCAACCCAACCCCAGAATGAGGAAGAGGTTAGGCAAGGTTTTCCTTGACTGGGGACATTCCTGAAGGCATCACTCCTCCACTGAAGAGAAGGCCTCCCACAGGACAAGCTCAGTCACACTGCCGGAGAGACACCAGAAAGACTCTACAGCCCAGGCTGGACTGGCTTCTCTTCACTTGGGTCCCTTGAGTTTCACAGCTCAATTTTTCTCCCCAGGAAACAAACTAAAGGTCACCAGGAAGAGGGGCTTCCCTAAACTTCCACAAATCTGTCATTGACCTTAACCTTCTTAGTGCAAGGCTCATCAGACAAAGGCAGTTCCACAGAATGAGGAGAGAGCTTACATCAAGATCTGCAAAAAAAAAAGAAAAAAAAAATCCCTGGGCTGACTCAGGCTTGCATCTTTAGAAGCCTTTTAAAATAACACATGCCACCAAATCTTTTGTAGCTAAGAGGAGTGACATCATCCCAATGCCTGGTCAGGACTGGCACATTTAAGGGAGGAGTTCCTCTCCCAAACACTTGGGAAGCAAAAGCAGCCTCCAGCCCCTTACTGTAACACCATGCCCAGTCCATGCTTTTGTGGGATGGTTCTGAAAATGGATCATGAAAAGATAGACGGATGGGAAGGACCAAAAATGGTCATCTCTGATTGGTCAGCAGCAGGGACCCAGGCTTGACAGGGTAATATACCATTCCTCATGTGACCCTAACACCGTATAAATAGGATGGGAGATTTGCCAGTGCACTAATGTCAGACACTAAGTCATCCCATGCAGGAGCTGCCCGAAGCTGGCTGTTCTTGTGACAACCAGACAACCTGCAGAAATGGAGCCTGCTATCGGAGCTTAAGGAAGAGCCCCCTGAAAATCCCCTGCTGAGAAGCTGAAGTCCCAATACTACAGCAGTGGCTACCTTGGTTTTTTCCACAGCACTGGGAGGGAGTGGTAACGGCTCCCCTCTGCAGCAGGGAAGTGGATTAAAACTATTGTATCTATGGATAACCAGCATGAGGCATGTGGATTATAAGCATTGTGGCTAACAGTGGCAGGGTCTATGATAAGCTGGGTGGTGCCGCAGATTACATATTCATGGCAGGAAGATCCACAATGCCAAAAGAGACAGAAAAGATGCTCCTAAAAGATCACCGAGGTTGCTTGTGGTCCTCACCCCCCCCCCCCCCCCAAGGAGATATAGCCAATCCAAAGTTCTAGGTCACAAGAGTGAACCCAGTCAACTAAGATCAATAGTCATAGAGGAGGGTCCAGCCCCCAGCATTCACCTTGGTACCTTTGTAGAGTTAGAGAGAAACTTACTGAAATGTGGTTTTTAAATACTAAATGGTGACACCAGTGTAAAATCTACCTGGGGGCAGCCTACAGTACCATTTTATGGAGTTTTTGGGAAGGTTAGTGAGATCTCCTGTTGTTCAATGCCTAATGGTATCAAATAGGAAGGAATAAGAGTAAGCCAGTGCACCCCCCTCCACCCTGCCTACAGTGTGAAACAGACCTCAGCAAAGGGCTTCCAAATCAACTGTAGCATTCTGAATCTATAGCTTCCAAATATTTATATTAAATATTCAAATAAAGTGCATATGTGATAGATACTCTAAGACCCAGTTGGGATTTTTCAATGCTTTGGAGATAAAAGAAAAATAGAGAGAGCCGGGCGTTGGTGGCACACGCCTTTAATCCCAGCACTCAGGAGGCAGAGGCAGGCAGATCTCTGTGAGTTCGAGGCTAGCCTGGTGTCCAGAGCTAGTACCAGGATAGGCTCCAAAGCTACATAGAGAAACCCTGTCTCAAAAAACCAAAAAGAAAAAACAGAAAGAAAGATATATAAAGAAAACTTTCACTGACCAGTCGGCACCCATGACAAATCCCATTCCTGCCAAAGTCCCACATGTTGGAAGTTCTACAAAGTTGGTGTGGGGATGAGCCGAACACTAGGGTTCATCAAAGGGGAACTGTCAGTCAAAACACAGAAGGGACTCTCTGGAGGAAAGGGCCACCACAAGAGCATAGCCCACTCCAGGAAAACCTTCCCCAAACTGTCCAGTACCCAGTGTGTACCACCTGCTTGAAGTCACCCATCTGCCCCTCAAAATTTGCAGCATCCCTATGCTCTGCATCTTTGACATCTTTAAGGATAGCCACATTCGTTTTGTCTAATCACATAAGACTTTGTTTCTATTACTCATTTGTCAAATCTTCCCACATTAAACAATTGTTTTTCTCAAATAGCCCAAGTCCCTTGCTTTGAATGAGTTTGGTCCTAGTAAACATATTGCACTTTTGCAATGTGCCATATGTAATCACTTTTAAAGATATGAGTGATGATGATGATGATGATAGGAACAAAAGAGTGTTAAAAAATTGAAACAAAGGAAATAAGACTTGCATCTCACTCGACCATTTTGAATATAAGTCAGTTCCTTCATCAAGTAGAAACAGGCATTTGGCATCACTCAAGTTAATAGGAAAAGCCAGTGCACAGGTGTGTCCATGGGACAAGAGAAGGCAAAAGCCAGAACAAAATGGCAAATGGGGAGAGTCCCATGAGTTCTGTGTAATTCACACAGTCATTACAAGTATTTATTGCTAGAGACAGCATTTTAAACAAAGGGTCTCCAAACACAAGTATTAAAACTGCCTTAATTACAAAGAGCCTGCCACTTGTAAAATGCTGCAATTTTTCATAAATAACAAAATACAAAAGTATGAGAAAATGCCCTTTGATAAATTAGGTTTTTTAATCTTTAATTGGGGTCATTTAAGGGGTGACCTCTAGGTAAACTGCCTTTGGGTGTATAGATTGCTCAGGGAACTAGTTTTAAGCAAAACCATCCGTACTCTTTTCAATTCTTCCTCGGGAGCAATGTGGAGGAAAGGAGACCCAGAGGCTGTGTGATGCAACATGCACCCCATGGCAGAAAGAGTCACCCCTCTCTGTGGTGCTGTCTACACCACCCGTAGCCTCTTAACTGTATCCCGGCGCTGCCTCCCGACACCAGGCACACACGTGGTGGGCATCATGGCCCCTTCACGTCCTTTTTCTCCAGCGTGGCGCCCGTTTTTCCTTCTGAACCTCTGCCTGACGTTTCTTCTCTGCCTCCTCCGCCTTCCTCTTCTCCTCCTTGGCCTCCTTGTACCGCCACTTGGGGATCTGCAGGTATATGCTGTCCTTGGTGTTGCCCTTGGACGCTGCGCGCTCAGGCTGGAAGGTGGGGGCAGGGGCCTTACTGATGCGCACTCTGGGGACCACCACGCCTGGCCGCACGCTGCTCCTCCGCAGCAACTGCAAGGGTAGGAGGCTGGCCTTCCGAGAGACAGGGGCAGGGGTGGATCCTGGTGCCCCAGAGGACTGGGACGACCAGGGGCTGGCTCTGGGGGTCTCCAAAGTCTGTAATTGTGGCTCAAAGCCCTCTACCTTGTTGCTATCCTGAGCATTGGTGTTCTGGTTCCTCCTAGCTGCTAGGATTTCCTGCACTGCTAGGCGTCGCTTCCCCACACAGGGAGGGTTCTCTGGGCACACAGTCTGGCAGACAACAGCAACAGCGGGGCTATACAGGCTTGTGGTCATGCTAACCATGTGATCAAGGACACCTCCATCCTGCAGGCTCTGGCCTGAGCGGGAGGTCAGAGTGGTCCGCAGGAACTCGGTGAATCTCTGAAAGCAGTTTTTGGAGCCAGCAGTTTTCAAGAGCGTCTCAGCCGGAAGCGGCAATTCCAGCTTGTACTTGTCCCCAAACTGCTCTGGGCAGGGTCGTTCCATCAGCCTCTGCATGACACGAACAGCCTCCACTCGGCCAGTGAATGCAGCCCACTCCTGTGGTGTCATCCCACGACGGGGATCCCTCGCTTGAACATCTGCCCCTGAAAAACAAAAACGCACATGCAGAAGTGGGCCAGGATGAGCTTCCACAGTCAATGAACGGTGGCAGAATTTGGGACAGTCAAGCTGGTTAATTTTGTAGTCACTTGGCTAGGCCAGAGTACCCAGTGGTTTGACCAAATCCCAAGCTGGGCACAACACTGGAGAGATTGGACTCAAAGCCAGAAGGGTTACTTTCTGGTTACTAATACAGCGAGCCTCATCCGATCAGCTGCAGGCTGTAAGAGCAAGGACAGGTTTCCCGGAACAGCCGCTCCAGACTGCACACCTACAAATTTCAGAGTCCTGAATGGCCATGATTGCATCTGATTCTTTAAACGAACCGCTCCTCTACTTACGTGTCCTGTGGGCCGATTCTTTAGAGGTTCTCCAGGCACATATCCCTATCTTCCTGGAAAATCTCTACTCCGAATCCCCTTTCCCAAAAGACACTGAAGACTTAAACCCCAGCCTCAGCTAAGATCTCACACATTCCAACTTCTGCCTACAGAAATGGATGTGGAATCGCCGTTCAGTTCATCTTGGTCCAATCTCAGCCCAATGTAGTTAAAAATCATGCAGGAGTTCAAGTCCCATTACTCTCCAATGGCAAAGCATCCAGGAGAATGAGGGCAATTACCTAGCCTGTGAATTCTCCAGGGACCCAGCCAGTTGGAGCATCTCCATTTGCATCTCAAACAGACCCACCTGTCTAACATGGTGGCTGATCAGTTGTTCCGAGCCAAGAGTATGGGGCTCAGCCACTTCCCTGCCCTGCAGGCCCACAGCAGCCTTGTGGCTGGGAAGACCACCTCCCTAAACTCACCTACTGAAAGCCTGAGTCCTGCGACACATTAAAAGAATACCAGTCTTAGGAAAGTGGCAATTATTTGGAACTGGAATTCAGGAGGAACTCATTAGCTGGAGCACAATTTATAAACTAGCGAAAATGAAAAGGGGGCAGTAAAAGTGCCACTGCAAAAATAGATGACACATTAAACCTTAATTAATTGCATGTCACTTTAAAAGGGAACAAACTGCAAAATTAAAACTTTAATGAACACTGCATGAAAGAGACATTTTTCAAATGCTAATGAAAAACGAAAGGAATGGCTGTCCAGAGCTTAGCAGTCTTCCTGCCACCTTTTAACATGATCAGAAAACAAACACTATAAATCAAGAAGACCAGCCAATCCTACTTTAGCAGCCCCGAACCCCGAGTCACCATGCTCCAAGTAATAATTCACTTCCCTCAGGAAACTGCTGCCAAGGATAACAGCAACTGAACTATGAGTGATGAGTACAGCTGTTCCTGGTCTCCCTTGACAAGAGATTGGGTCCAAGACCCCCAGTGGATACCAAATTCTGAAGTGGCTCAGGTCCCACATATAAAATGGTACATTTGCATAGAACCTATGCACATTACCCTACATACTGATACACTGAAACCTCTCCTGATTACCCATAATCCTAACTCAAATACAATGCTATCATTGTCACGTTGTGTTTAGGGGATGGGAACAAAAAAGATCTGTGCATGGGTGTGTGTGTGTGTGTGTGTGTGTGTGTGTGTGTGTGTGTGTGTGTTAGCTGAACCCACAGACACAGAATCTAAGACATGGAGCTGGAAGAACGTGTTACAGCCCTGGGGATTGAATCTAGGAACTTGCACATACCAGGCAAATGCTCTAGAAGATGATTCTAGAAGAATCCTAGAAGATGGTTCGCACTTTACACTGCTACCTTGCACAGAGTGACAAGAGCTTGGGAAATGCTGCTGCACCCATGGTCCTTACAGTGGATCATCAGTGCCCCACTCCCAGCCAGCAACATTTTGCCCTTTGAAAAAAACTGGAGACATGACTTGGGCTCTCACTGTTGTGTCTACTGGCTGCCATGCTGTGTGCTGCCATGTTGCCTATACAAAGTGCTTCACTACACTCAAGGCAGCATTATATTCAACCATATAGAATAAATACATCATGATTAAACTAACGTAAGGTTACTCAATGTTGAAAGTACTAGAATTTTTAGCCAGTATTTCTTTGTTAAGGGGCTAGCCTATGCACTGTGGGATTCTAACAACATCTCTGGTCTCTAAAAGATGCCAGAAAGTAATCCATTGGTTATGAGAGCCAAACTCTTCTTTGGCCATTTTCAAATACCATCTAGGAGACAACATTGCCCTATCTCAGAATCGCTGGTCTAACCTAAGGACTACGGTCCTGTCCTGTCCCCCATCCATCCAGCCTCCTACGTCCCATTGAGCCAGACCTGATCAGTGAACCCTAATGAGTTGTTTGCCTCCTGTTGCTGTTGATCCCTACCTGAAACACAGATCAGGTCTGGTGACTCCAAAAGAACCCCTGTGTCAAATGGATCTGGCGAGATGGTGCAGTGATCATGAAGACCTCAACGGACACCAACCCATGTAAAAAGCCAGGCACTAGGCATGTTAAGAGTGCACCTGGAATCCCAGTGCTGGGGAGGCAAAGACAGGGGGATCCCTGGAGCTCACTGGCCAGCCATTCTAGCTGAGTGAGAAAGCTCCAGGTTCCCCAAGTAACCCTGAACATCAACCCCTGGCCTCCAACACACATTCACATTCACATGCATGCATACCCACATACCAATATGCACACATGTATGAATACATACCCACACACCAACATGCATACATTATGTGCGCGTGCGCGCGCGCGCACACACACACACACACACACCAATATGCACACATGTATGAACACACACACAGAGATCAACAAACTAAGGAGACAAAAGAAAAGAAGCAGGGTCTACGATGTCATGGAACCTAGGTCAACTCTGAATAGGATCTGCTGACCCCATGATTTCTAATGAGCTGAGAGAAACATGTCTGCCTTCTTTAAATCATCCCCAGGATGGGATTTTTTGTTTGTTTGTTTGTTTGTTTGTTTGTTTTTTGTTTTTTTGTTACTGGAACCATCCCAAGCAGGTGCTAAAGAGAACAGGTGGATCTTCTACCACTCAGGCTCAGAGCCATGAAGGCCCAGGCCCTGACGGCCTATGAGAGAGAGGGAGACAGCAGGAAGCAGAAATGCGTCACTTCCCTTTTCTTTTCTGTCTCAGTAGCCACCCTTCATGCCATCTATCCTACAAAACCCAGCTCAGGCCTCCCTCCTGCCACTGCAGACCAGTTCCTGCAGTCATCACCATTGTGCCTGCTCTGACCCATAACCTAGGCCCTGAAAGCAGGGCCAACTGTGATGCAAAAGAGCCACCCTCCAACACAGCAGGTATGACAAGCTCCTGGGAGACTCAGCAAGCAGGAACCTGGCCCTCCTGGGACATCAGCAGGAGGATACATCTCACAGCCTACCTGGGCCTTCAGCTGGCATCCCTGGGGTGCCTAAGTCTCTCAGAGGCCAAGCTGCAGCCCAGTGGCCCACAGGGAACCCAGTCACTCTCACCTCCCTCCTCAAGGTGTTTCTTACAAGGGTCACATACTACAAAACCTACTCCCTGGGTCTTTTCAGTGGAGACTCCCTGCTTGTGGGCAGCTTCCTGGCTTGAAGAGGAAATTGCTGTCTTCCCTTATAAACTGAAAGCAACTTCTGTGTTGACACAAACCCCCTGGTTTTTGAGACGCATGTCATAAGGGCTTGTCTAAGATGAGAGCAAACATACAAGCAACCGTGTCTGCGGCCAGCTCCTCCCCTCCCTTTCAGTCTATTTTGTTCCCAGGAACCACAGTGGGATGCTAGGCTTCAACCTCATGTTGTTCTTTCCAGAGGCTGAGGCAATTACATCACACTTCAGGAATAAAGTGAACTGTTAAGCAAGTCTGGAACCTGGCAACCTCCATGGAAGGGAAAAAAAAAATCACATCATTGACAGAGCCACTTACGGAAATAGACCTGTCACTTTGTTGCATTAATATTCCACCAGGTTAACAAGGTGCTGCATGTCCCTTTCTATTCTTATCAGAGTGGCTGGCATTATCAGGACTCTTGATCCCCAACAGCCACCAGGTCGGTTTACAGAATCGGCTGTACTCGTCATTAAATTCAAAGTTCTGATAATCCTAACGTTATTTTATTCTACCTGACAATGCAGATAAGAGCTGACATGTGCCTGTGGTTTGCCAACTGCAAAAAAATCTAAAGGGTTTAGGGGGTCAGCCAATTCAATCATTCATCATTCTAGGTGAAGTGGTTCCAACTGAATGTAATAAAATCGCAAGTCAGAAACTCAAATCTGGTGTTAAAAGCACCCAGGAACAAAGAATCCTGCATTCCACAAAATAAAAATCAGAACGAGATACATGTGTTTTGTGCTAATACATGGTATCGTGTTGCCTTTTGCTTTTATAATAATCATAGGATGGCCATTCTGCAGTCTGCTACTGAACCACTGTCCTCCGATGTACGTAAGTGAACTCTATGCTGAGAGGTTAATTTCAAGAAAAACACAGGCAACTGATACCTAGGAATATCTCCATTTTCTTAATACTGTTAAATTCAAATGGAAATAAAAAATCAAAATATCAGTGTAAACTTTTTAAACATCTCAACAGGCATCCTTACTGCTGTCTAACAAACCCAGGGAGGCCATTCACTTACACGCTGGTTTCTTTTAAGATACGTCTGCTATAAAAGGAAAATGAAGCTAAGAAGACAGGTGCAAACTGGAATATTCTAGAGGCTAAGTGTTCCAATCAAAGCTCCTCAGGGAGCTCAAATGCAACCTAAAGGAGGTGCAGTCCAGAACAGAGCAGGCCAGGAAGGAGGACTGTGTCCAGAAACAGAATGATCTCTTCCTCTTTTTTTTAAAAATCATATCCCACTTTAATTAATTATATCTGTGGCTCTTGGTAGGAGACAATCACATCCTTGGGAGGAGGCGATCTCCACAGGCATTTTGGGGTGTCCCAACTGGAGGGTGCTACCAGCATATATGGTAAATGAAAGTCATAAAAGCTGCTAATGCTCTACACATTGTCAAGATGGCCTCCACAAGGATTAAGCCAGACCTACATGTCACTAGTGTCAAAAAGTGCTTATTAGCACAAATACCTCATCACAAGGATAGTTTTTAAAAAGAAAAAATGCTCTATTTTGTATTCATTCACAAATAACTCCTGATCGGGTCAATGTATTAAGAATGAAAAAGCTGATTGTAACCAGCACATACCAGCAGGCAGCTTCCTCTCATGAACAAAATCCGACCAACTTCCTGTGATAAGGCTGTCATCAGTCCCCTATCATTGTCTGAGGCCCAGAGAGGAAAGTGACAGGTCCCTGGAAAGGTAAGTAGCAGGCTGCACAGGTAGCTGCAACCCTTACTGGCTTTGGACTTGTTTCTGCTGCATTCTAAAGAATACAAACAACAATGCCATGTGCTCCTGATGATTATTCTAGACTTCAGTGGAGAGGAGAAGCTCAGAAGTGGTTGTGGGGATCAATGGAGAAAAGTTGAGAGACCTTTGTAAGCAAACAGCAGACGGGAGGACTCTCTTTTCTTGAGGTTCATCAATGAAGAGGTCAATCCCAAGGACTTTCTCATGAAGGTTCATCAATGAAGAGGTCAGTCCCAAGGACTTTCTCATGGGTTCATCAATGAAGAGGTCAGTCCCAAAGACTTTCTCATGGGTTCATCAATGAAGAGGTCAGTCCCAAGGACTTTCTCATGGGTTCATCAATGAAGAGGTCAGTCCCAAGGACTTTCTCATGGGTTCATCAATGAAGAGGTCAGTCCCAAGGACTTTCTCATGGGTTCATCAATGAAGAGGTCAGTCCCAAGGACTTTCTCATTGGGGTTCATCAAATATCTACAAAGTGCTATCATATTCATCCTGGGGGTGGGGGAGGAAGGTGAGGACAGGGAAGTACTTGGGATGTCAAGGAAGATATGCAAAACAACTGTGCAGTCTTGCAGATCCAGCTTCGGCCTGAGGATATCCAGCCATGGAGGCTCTGCAGGAGCAGCCCATCCCTACCTGTCCCCATCACCTGTGTCATCTTCACAACTGCAGTCCTTAAAACACAGGCAAGGCTAGAATGAACACTTTTTAGGCACATGTGTGTCCAGGTGAATATGCTCATGTACCTAAGGAGCTAGGCACGTGGAGGCCCAAAGCTGACATCAGGAATCTTCCGTGAGTACCTCTGCCTTGTCCTGGAGTGCATTCATTCAGCTAGTCTAGCTAGACAGCCTGTTCCTGAGATCCCCTTATCGTTTTCATCTTCCCAGTGTGGAGCCATGTCCACTGAGCTTTTATGTGGGTTCTCAGAATCCTGATTTCAGTCCTCGGGCACGAGGGGCATCAGTCTACCCACTCAGCTATCTGCCCGGCCCCCAGAATATATGCTCTTGAAGAATAAGTCTGAGCACATCTAGAGAGTCAGTAGACAGACAGACAGACAGACAGACAGATGAGGGAGCAGGGAGCAATGGGAGTTTCAGGGAATGGCCAGTGCTGTGGTCAATCCTCATTGGCCAGCCCTGAAGTCGTGTGCTTTGGACTTCTTTTTCCAGAGGTAGACAAGCTCTCACATATCTCAGGCTGGCCTTAGACTTGGTATGTAACTGAGGATGGCTTTGAACTCCTTATCCTCCTGCCTCTGCATCGTGAGTACTGGGGCATCGCCACACACAATTTTGCATTATGCTAGAATTGAGTCCCAGGGTTCTGTGTATGCTGGACAAGCATTCTGCTGACTGAGCTATATACTCCAGCTTACTTTTGACATTTCAAAGAAACTCAACCACACAGCTCAAAAGAGCAAAACAAATCTATTCCTTGCTGCCACTGTTTCCGTTAAGTGGCATGGGTCTATTTAATATGCTTCTTTAAAAGAACCACCTTGGTATTTCTAGAGCTTAGAGACTACACTGGACAGGTGGACTTACCTGCCAGCATCAGGGCTCGCACACATTCTGTTCTGCCCTGCATGGCAGCTTTCATGAGGGCAGTGAAGCCAAATATGTTCCGCCTTTCTAGGTCCAGGCCAGGGAAATAATTGAGCAAGTAGTTGGTGATGGTGGCATGTCCTGAAAGAGAATGACATATGCATGTAGATTCATGTACCCACACAGGTGATGGCAGAGAAAGAAACTGCTCATCATCAACCATGTCGGCTGTCACTTATGTGTGCGCTCTTTAAATCCCTAACACCATTTTCCTGGACACAGGGAGCACAGGACAGTGGGAGAGACTGCTCAGAACATTCAGTAAAGTTCACTTGTGGCCCTTCAGTCTCCCTCTGGGGAGGCAGGGCAGAGGTGGGGCAGAGTTCACTTCAGTCTCCCTCTGGGGAGGCAGGGCAGAGGCAGGGCAGAGTTCACTTCCCCACAGGCAGGGGGTAGTCAACTCCCAGCAGGAGTCACCGGGCAAGCAGAAGCTAGGCTGCAAATGAGCCTGGGAAACATTTCTAAATACCAGCTTCAGTGGGGAAACACATCAAAGCAAGACTGTATTATGGTAGCATCTTGCTTTGCCAGTGAACTTGTGGTGGTGGCCGTACTCTATGGACCTATGGACATGGCTTTGGGTATTCCGATGTGACCCCTCATAAAGTAGAGGAGGGGCTGGCTTATGCTCTTGGTTTGCAGTGAGAGCATCCAAAGGACAGAGACTATATCTTCTGGAGCAGAAAGACCTCGGCCGTTATTTACTCTGACCTGTGTAAGCGCCTCCCTAATAAACACCTAATTATCATTTATCATGGGTCTGGTGGACTCATTTAAACCCCGCCTTCAATGTGTCTTAATTCAGGCTGGGTACCTCTGGTCTCTGGTTACCATTTAAAATATATTGTATTTCTCCTTCCCCCTGCCACCCCGCAACCCACTCCACACTACCTCATGCATGCGCGCGCGCACACACCCGCACACACACACAGCCCTAAAACCTGAACAGGTGAAAACCAACACTTAAGAACACAGAAATTCTCTTTCTCGCCTTGCTCCTCACAAACAGAATATGGTTTCTGCTCCTTCCCAGGGCTTTTAAATGCCAGGCACTCACGTTAGGGACCTCTTGGCAAGGTTCACATGAGCAGCAGGAACCCAACTATGTGCACAGCAGAGATGGCTGCTGAATCTACCTCCCCAACTACTCTCGGACAACTAGCCCACCCTTCCTAGTCCTTCTGTGATTGAATCCTCCCCACCCACCCTCAGTGATCAAATCAGGGCCCTGGTTACAGCAGTCTTGTTGCTGGGTAGCCACACTGGCGCTGGCTTGCATACTACAGTTTGGCTAGCAGTATTCTTGGCCTTCACCCCTAGAACACTAACACACCACTCCTCCCCAGCCCTTGACAACCAAGAAAGTATCTAGATGTTACCTCACACTCCCTGAAGGGGGCTATGCAAGATCACTCCCATTGTTTCCTTTGTCCACCTCCCTGTGTTCATGTGCGCCCCTCCCCTTTGCTTCCATCTCCAACCTGACCCTGCAGAAGATGGCCAGCAAGCCTTGGGCAAAATGCAGAATTCCCTCTTCCTCTGTCCTGGGAGAAGCTTCCGGTGCCCAGAGCCATCCCACTCTTATGCAGGTCAGGCTGTCTAAGTCTCCATGTTCAACCTACTCTATCCATGCCCCTTTCAACTCTACCATCAGTCCCATAGGTATGGGGGCTTGGGGCATTCCCATCCTCTCTGTACCTTACTTTATGCCATCCTTCCCTTTACCTTTACACATATGGAAGTCAGACCCCTGTGGCCCAGAGTCCCCTTCCCAGCATGATTCCTGGGCAGAAGTTGAATAGGTGGTATGACATAGGACCTTGTGCCAAGGAACACTTGGGAGGCTCTCCTGCTCGCTGCAGACTGACAAGTCTGAAGCTGGTGGCAGCTCTGAGAATCCATCTCCCTGCTGTGGCTGCAAGCACAGCAAATCAGGTTTCAGGATGGAGATAGAAGGCAAAGGGGTACATATGTCCTTGGGCTTCATCCCCTTCCCCAGTCATCCCACTATGTGAGCACAATATTAAATCCACCCCATACACTGAAGATCTTCAGTCAGCCCAACCACACCCAAGTAACAGATATCTGGGCTACAACCTCCGTGATCCCTTGCGAGGAACATTATATACTCCAGGCTGCTGTCCACGCTATCCAAATTCAATCCTTGGGGTTGACCTGTCACCAACTTAAAAGTTAAAACAAATAAGCCACATAGAGCAGAGTTCTGAGTCATAAGAAGCAGGACTTGGGCTCACCACTGAGCTCAGCCACCACTCTACAAAGGGGGTCAGAGCCTGGCTGACTGTTAAGAAGCCAACAAGACCAGGCTGTGGCTCCAGGCTATGTAACACACAGGTTCCAAATTGCTGATGGTGCTTTCTGGACTCACTGACCTCTTGGCCTCCTCTGTGTAAGGGGGTCAGGATGAAGCCAGCGGTCAAGAGCCCATGGTGGTAGGGTTGTAGAAGACAGACCTTTGATCTCAAGTGAGCTTGTGTTCCGCTTGAATGCTTGCCACACCAGTCAGGTTTAGACCGGGTCTCAGTGAAACGAATTGCGATTTGTTTCGATCGTTTTCTTTAAAGGTGTGACACTGCATGTCAGTCACAATTTGCAGATGTTGTTTGTACACAATCACACACACGCGTGCTCATACATGCACTGTGTATTTATATTAAACACACAATCTTTTTACTGCAAGGGAACCCAGACACTGAAATCTGGTTTGAGTCTAACCCAACTTACACATAGGAGTTGGTTCCATCTTAAGGGCAGGCTCACCACAGAGACTCCCTACTCACCAGTGAGCCTCACCCTGCCCAAGAAAAGAGCACAAGTGGTGACCACATAACTAAGAGATCACCACTATACTCAAGAGAGCTTGCTCTAAAACTACTAGAGTTCAATTCCCAGACCTGCCCCTCAAAATTCCAAGTGTGTCTATAAAAATGGGACATAGTATCACTGCACAATTACAAATGGCACATCAGGGAAAGTGTGCAGAAAGTTCCCAGCAAAACAAGATAAATAGAAAATGTCAGGGGCACACTGATTCCCCCAGCACATGGGAGGCAGAGGCAGAATGATTGAGGCAGAAGCTTGAGCTCATCCCAGCTTTATTTTTTTTTAAAGACTAGGTATTGAGTATTGTTGGTTTAGAGTACCTTCTACTTTTTTTCTTTTTTTAATTTATTTATTATATATATATAGTCTTCTGCCTGCACGCCAGCAGAGGGTACCAAATCTCATTCAAGGTGGTTGTGAGCCACCATGTGGTTGCCAGGAATTGAACTCATGGCTCAGCAGTTAAGAGCACTGACTGTTCTTCCAGAGGTCCTGTCCAGAGGGACATCCAACAACACACCAGGACCTGTGTGCAAATCTATTATTAAGATCACCAAACACAGGGGCAGGCTGAGAAAGTGTCACAGCCACACAGAGCCTACAGACACAGAAATGCAATATGGAATCCCAGGTGGATGGGAACCTGGAACAGAAAAGGGACATTAGAGGCCAACTGTAGTGGCCCATGCATGTAATCCCAGCATGGAAGAGGCAGAGGTAGGAGGACTGATGCAGACTCTAGGCTAGTCTATATAGCAAGCTCCAGGACAGCCAATGCTACATAGAAAACACTGTCTTGGGAATGGGGGGGGGGGTGAGCAAGAATGACAGTAGGGAACATTTAAGATCCTCACACTCACACAGCAGACATTTTAACAATGAACCATCATCTCCCCCAGCAAAAATAACACTAATCAAAGATGCCAACTTTCCTGTTCTACAGTAGTAACAACAGCAACGGCCATGATAACATAGTAACTAAAGATGCCAACCTGGGTTTGAGCCATCTGTGCCCACTTTCCTGGAATATCTAGCCATAATTTGCCTCTGCTCATCAATCGCACCCTCCTTGCAGACACATTCACACAAGATCACATGAATGGCCCAGGGTTCCTCACCCTGCCCCTTGCTGTGTGACATCATGGTTTCTGTGTCACAAGGAACTCAGCCCGTGGGATGTCTGCAGGTCAGAATCCAGCAGAAGCTCAAATGTACTAACCCAGACTCTCCTCATGGTGAGGCTTCTCCCCCTTAGGTCATTCCCCAGCTGTCTCATTGCTCCCAAAAGCAACAGGACAAGAATGCTAGTATAGCTGCCCTGGATAAAACGTCCAAGAACAGGGCCTCCAGCTTAACCACAGACATGAGCAATAAAATCAAGATCAGTGGCCCTCCAGCCTGTCCACAGAAGCATGCAGTAATAATGTTGGAAACTTGGCTCTACAGAGGCAGGGGAATCACTCAGCAGTAGCAAGCTGGCGTGCATGCTCAAGACTCTCATCTCTCTGTGGCTAGGGGATGGCTCTGCTGTTAAGAGTAAGTACTGCTCTTACAGAGGTCCTGAGTTCAGTTCCTAGCACCTTCATCTGGTGACCCACAACACTATGGTGACCCACAATCATGTTCTATGGGATCTAATGCCCTCTTCTGGCCTCCTTGGGCAACTACACATGTGTACACAGGTACACACACATAATTAAAAACAGAAACTGGGTATTTCCAACAAATGCAACAATGACCCTGTGGGCCTGTCTTCACACACAGCCACCCTCCACTAACCACTACTCTCCTTTCAGTCCCATGCTTAGCTAAAACCGACACTCTTCCAGCTCTGGCTGAACCCTCTAAACAGCTCTCCATCAACACCTTGTGGTGAATTTAGTGGCTGTCCATTCTGTTACTTTACGCCCTCACAGCGTTGACCACTTCCCCATCCATCATTCACAGAACTGTCTTCCCATGATCACTCCAGAAGCTCACCCTCTGACCCACCTCTCTGCTTTTCTTGCTCCTGGAGAGTTGTGCTCCCCAGATGATGGACAAGCTCTCTCTCTGCATCCCACATGCTCTCCTCCTCCCATCATCTCCATGTTCCTTGTACTCTGTTATTTTCTCTAAATCTCCAACCCACATCAACTTCTGCCCTTTTTATAGTTTCTCACCTAAATTATCTGTCCCGGGTACTTATCCTGGGTGTCCCCAGCATTGCATCAAACCCCAAACATCTTCCATTCTGG